ATTTTCTCCAATCTTAAGATCGCAATTCTGTTGTTAGGAGACTAAAGCACTCAATTACCAATTTTAACAAAGAAATTCAACGTAATGAAGGCGTGGTTTTTTTAGAGAGAAAACATCGCATTCGAGTGCAGTTTCGATATCAGTATCGAATGCAATGTTTTCTCTCTGAAAAAACCACGCCTTTATTACGTTGAATTTCTTTGTTAAAATCGGTAAGCGAGTGCTTTAGTCTCCTGACAACAGAATTGCGATCTCAAAATTGGAGAAAAATGACGAGTAGCTGAAAAAATGGAACCAATTGATGCGATATATCGTACTTCGTTCTGACACAAAATATGGCGTCCATCGAATCACCTTAAAATCACATGGAGTTACAGTTAAGTTTCTTAAAAATATCAAACAGCCTTCAAAAAGCAGAAAAGTCCATATATATGCAATATTTTTCCTCATCTTGTGAAGGCATGTGAAAATGTAACGTCCGCAACAGAAAAGCTATTAAACTTCATGTCATTTAACGCAGAAGTCAGTTTAGAAGTTCGTTTTTGGTGAACGATAGGACATGTTCTTCATTGATACTCCAGTAGTGTTAGAACGCATTTAGATACTTCAGTTATCATGTCATACAAAGTCGAAAAAGTGTAACGTCCGCAACGGAGAGGACGTTACACGGCTCTAGCTGTAGAGGTAATCTCACATTTAACTTGTTCGATAAGCTCGTACTAAAAATTCAGGTACTCTATAGCAACTCGATTATGTTTCAATTTATTTTCACTCATAAAGTGTGTTCAATTTTAAATTCAATTTCGGTAAAACGTGTCTTATTGTTTTCTTAGATAGTTGATACATTTGTCCTGATGATGTGCATTTAAATACAATTTAATTATTGATCGTAACTTCTTTAACCTTTCTTCGTGTTCGACAGCACGGTTATCGTGTCCATCCTGCACCTCTTACTAAAACAGCGTCACCATAGTGCACACGCGGGGACCTATATCGGGAATGCGGCTTATTGCTGCTATCTATCGATGCCCACGAAAATCACCTTATCGTGATTCTTTAACACATTATTATGAAATATTTTCGTATGCTGTGAAAAACTCGCAAGAAATTTACTGGGCAGTGCACTTGGCCAGTTTTGGATTGTTTTTTACTTTCTCGCTCCCCTAGGGTAGAGAGGAAGTATTGTCATCCTCCAAGAAGAAGAAAAAAGAAAAAAGTTGAAATGGCATCATTTCTAGACGTTTTAAGGTCCCAGGAGTCAAAATAACCATACTTGGAAAAATGTGTGTCCGTCCATCCGTCCGGCGGCGTCCCCCAAATCTGTCTACAGCGATATCTCACAATCTATCTGTTCGATTTCATTCAAAAGCCAAGAACACCATAACTATGGTCTCCTTATGCACGTCAAACGATTTTGGGGTACGCTAAAAATTTTTTTTTTGGGGGGGGGCTAGGGGCCAAGGTCCATTTTTAGCAAAATCACACGGAAAGCTCATTTTAAAGGACTGTAAATTTTGAAAAATGCCTTTAATTCTTTAACAGTGGGCATCAAGCACATCACCTGGGTCGTTAATTTAAGTTCCTAAAAAATCTTTGGACTAAACTCAAAATTCAAGGGATTACGAGGCTTAAAAGTAGGGCACTTTGTTCCACGATATCACACAAATAGCTCATTTTCAAGGACTGTTAATTTTAAAAAAATCCTCCTCCTCCCCCCCCCCCCCCNCCCCCCCCCCCCCCCCCCCATGAAGAGTTTGCCATTTCATGTCATAATGAGTCCAGTGCAGTAGTTTTCGAAAATTTAAACAGTATGGAAATTCATGAAATTTCATCTCTATACTACATAGGCTGTCCCAAAACAACTGACACTAAGGCTGTCATTCGGGAACTACAATAGATATCGACTTGCGGTTTGCAGGAGGTGATAGTTAGTTAGCTAACTATCTCGTTTAAGAGCTCTTAGCTCTTAAACGAGCCTAAGCTCAGCTAGTTTGGTTAAAAACTCAACGAGTTGCATCAATTTTCCCGAGACGTCTAAGAAATACCCCTACGGGATTTTTCGGTAATTTTTCATTATTCCGTTAACTTTGCCTCCGCAAGCTGTGCAATTGGTTCAGACGTTATGAATCAAGTTTCCACTTGTCTGGATGCAAGTTTGAACTTGTCAGCTAGTGTTTCCATCACAGCCGAGAAGTTTTTTTCTGTTTGCAAAGTCAGTTTAGTGAAATTGTCTGGCCTGATAACGCGTTTTTTTTTGATTCGTCATGAGTTTACCCGCGAAGTTGAAGCAAAAGCAACGATACGCAATTCGGTATTGCGTTCGTCGTAAATTATCTACTTCTGAAACTGTAAATGAAATGACAGTAACTTGAAGAGGTGTTTCAGAAGCAGATAATTCACGACGAACGCAATATCGAATTGCGTATCGTTGCTCTTGCTTCAACTCCGCGGGTGAACTCATGACGAAACACAAAAAGCGCGTTATCAGGCCAGACAATTTCACTAAACTGACTTTGCAAACAGAAAAAAACTTCTCGGCTGTGATGGAAACACTTGCTGACAAGTTCAAACTTGCATTCAGACAAGTGGAAACTTATTTCATAACGTCTGAACCAATTGCACAGCTTGCGGAGGCAAAGTTAACGGAATAATGAGAAATCACCGAAAAATCCCGTAGGGGTATTTCTTAGACGTCTCGGGAAAATTGATTTAACTCGTTGAGTTTTTAATCAAACTAGCTGAACTTAGGCTTGTTTAAGAGCTATGAGTATGAACTATCACCTCCCGCAAATTGCATGTCGATATCTACTGTAGTTCCCGAATGACAGCCGTAGTGCCAGTTGTTTTGGGACAGCATATGTATAAGCTCTGAGACCTCCCAATTTTGCGTAACTGGTAACGCTTAGTTCCAGCGTTCTACCGAGCCGATTTTCATGATTTTTGCGGCTATCGACGGGCAATTGTCTCTAGATAAGCCAACTCTTTTTAGATTTTCAAAATATGGCCCAGGTTTTTTTATATTACGTGGTAAAGTTGCGAATTCTCCCATTTAAACAATGTAAATTTATATTTTTTGTCATAGTTCGTTTGAGCGTTCTACCGGGCCGATTCCCATGATTTTTGCAGTTATCGACAGGTAATTGGCCTTAGATGAGCCCGCTCTATTCAGATTTTGGAAATAAGACCCAGGTTTTTTTACAATCACGTTATAAAACTGAGCGAATTTACAGATTGCTCCAGAACTGCTGTCGCTATGCGCAGGAGGATGCGCAGTGGCAGAGTAGCCTGCGCATCAGCTCTACTTATCAACACAAGATTCGCCTCTCCTACCTCAATCCGAGCGGTGACCGAGTTGTCTACAACGTCGGAAACGCTCACATTTTTCAAGATGTGGGTTCGATTCCTGACTCCTCGGCTACTTTTAATTATGACCTGATTATCATTATTCGTTGTTTTACTGCAATGTTTCATTAATCAGTAATTGCAAAACACGTTATTTTTACTTAAAAAAAATTGTTTTTTCTTCATTCATTAAAAACAAAAATAATTTCATTCTAAAAGTAAAGTATACCTCATATCGTAATTTTTTTGGGGGAAAATAATATCGACATTGATAGGAGGGTAAAAATAGGGTCGCGAAGCGGCCCATTGAAAGCGGCAAAGTTCAAAAAACGAAATATGAAGTGATTCAATTCAACCATTCAAATTTCATTTTTTTTTTTACAACTTTGTCCGAAATTTGGGGACTTGAAAATGCAATGTTGAACTAATTTTGAACTTACTAAGATAATGTTGAGGGAAAGTAAGGGGAAAGTCGCTCATTTCGCGAGAATATCGTATGTCCTTTAAAATGACGTATTTGGGGGTCCGAAACCCCCCTTAAAATTAATTTGAAGTAATTTCTGTGATTTTTACTTAAAAGTGCTTCAATTTGGTAAAGGACCCTACAACAAAACGGCCAAATCGGCCTAAACACGGAATCCTACGATTTTCTCAGGGATGAAAGAGGGTCTTCTCGGACACTCAAAACTGGTCATATTTTTGCCTAACCGCCAGGGAAAAGGGGGGATGGGGGGTCAAAGTCAAACACCTCGAAAGTAGCATTACTTCTGAACGGTTTGTTGTAGAAAGATGATCTTGGTGTCATAATTTCCAGAAAAATGAGAGCTTTCAGAATATATGTATGAAATTAATTAAAATTTAGACATGACCCACTTTTGGGGGAATTATACAAGGTCCCCCTTTCGTAAATTTTCGTTTTTCGATATTTTCGATCGTTCGGTTCGCACGGAGCAAAACAAAAACAACCTTAAATGAAAGTAGAGGACATAAGGTTTAAAACGAGCCCAAGTTCATCTTGGGGAAACGATTAGAAGCGGAGTTATGAGTCTTCAAAGTTGACGCAGCGCGCAGGAACCTTGTATGTTCCGAGTCTCAAGGTCACCTGCGCCCCCTGGATTGCCTGCAGGTTGCAAGTTTTCGTGTTTTTATGCTTCTGTAGATTGTTTTTAATGTAAATCATTCAATGAAGAGAGAATAATCGGAATTTTTTAATTTTACGGGGGGAGCGAGAGGGGGCTTAGAGTGTCAACCATGATGTCCAGCATACCTCATTAAACATTTGCTGACGATGACGATTCTGCTCTTATAATTTAGAAGAAACCATGGACCCTCAGTTCAAATATACATATGCTCCATACAGAACCATTTAGAAATTATAACCCATTGATGCCAAATTTTGGGGTACCCCTAATTTTAAATTTGTTTAATAAATTGAGCTATAAGCTACAGCTTTTGACGGAACTCACTTGGTAAAGCCAAATAGTTTCTTGTAGAAGCAGACGAGCTTTGAGCTTCAAAACAAGTCTCCGTTATTCTTGAGAGGGCAATTTGAACGTGGAATGCTCTCGTTAAGCAATCCTAGTATTAATTTTTATGAAAGAACTCTTCAATTTGTTGAACTGACTTGCTTAACTTAATATTTTCCCCCCTTTTTTCAGAAATGACGAGGGAATCGCCGATCGAAAGTCCCGGCCTCCGCAGAAGAAACGACCTCATCCACATGAACAATGGCCACGAACAGGCCATCCCAAGCCAAATCCTCAAGGTAAGATTTGTGACCCCAAAGCACCCAACGTAGGGGAGACTATTTGTTTAATAGTCGTTCCGGGCGCACTTTGCCTGCCCGGGTCGGAATGTTCCAGAGCCTGCTAGAATATTCTATGGCACAACAATTGATTTTTCGAGAAAATTCGAGAATCGATTTTTCAGAAAGTTCGAGAGTAGATTTTTCGAGGACATGCACTCTTTAATTCTTCATGAGTTCGAAAGCGATCGCAGCATTTAATCGATAATCGAGCGGAGGTGCACAGCGCTGCGCTCTCTACCATACAGGGTGTTCGAAAAGTCCCCTCCCCCCCTCTAACTTTTGACCTAATTGAGGTAGAGATTTGAAACTTGGAGGGTGTTCCTAGATTAAAGGGAGCTACTTTTTGAACCCCCCAAAATTTTGGGGGGGTTACGGACCCTAACTTTTAATTTTCAAATGGGAAGACCCCCTTTGTGATACCTCGTTCGGAAGAGCATAAAAAAAGAAAATTTTTCGCGTTAACCGGAAGTCATTATCTCAAACCGTTTCAAAATGGCGGCCGGTCAAAGTTCCAAATGGCCGAAAATTGGCGCCTCTGCTATTTGCACATGGATTTGCTTGAAACTCGCTATCTGGGGGGTATTTTGGCACGAGAAAAACAAATTTGACGTTAGATTTTCAAAAAAACCCTAATTTTTCAAAATGGCGACCGGTTTAGGCTCAAAGTGGCCGAAAATTTGACAAACTCGATTTTTTTGCCAATGGATTCACCTGAAATTCGGTATCTGGGGGTATTTTGACCCGAGAATTACGAATTCAACGTTACATTTTTAAACAAACCCTAATTTCCAAAATGGCCGCCGATTAAAGTTCAAAATGGTCAACAATTGGCAACCTCGACTTTTTGCCGATAGATTCGCCTCAAACTCGGTGTTTGAGGTTATCTGGGTGGGGAATAACGAATTCGACGTTATTTCACCGAGTTTCAGGCGAATCTATCGGCAAAAAGTCGAGGTTGCCAATTGTTGACCATTTTGAACTTTAATCGGCGGCCATTTTGAAAAATTAGGGTTTGTTTAAAAATCTAACGTTGAATTCGTTATTCTCGGGTCAAAATACCCCCAGATACCGAATTTCAGGTGAATCCATTGGCAAAAAAATCGAGTTTGTCAAATTTTCGGCCACTTTGAGCCTAAACCGGCCGCCATTTTGAAAAATTAGGGTTTTTATGAAAATCTAACGTCAAATTCGTTTTTCTCGTGCCAAAATACCCCCATATAGCGAGTTTCAAGCAAATCCATGTGCAAATAGCAGAGGCGCCAATTTTCGGCCATTGACCGGCCGCCATTTTGAAATGGTTTGAGATAATGACTTCGGATTTGCGCGAAAATTTTTCTTATTTTATGCTCTTTCGAACGAGGTATCACAAAGGGGGTCTTCCCATTTGAAAATTAAAAGTTAGGGTCCGTAACCCCCCCAAAATGGGGCCCCCCAAAATTTTGGGGGGATCAAAAAGTAGCTCCCTTTGATCTAGGAACACCCTCCAAGCTTCAAATCTCTACCTCAATTAGGTCAAAAGTTAGAGGGGGGGAGGGGACTTTTCGAACACCCTGTAGAATAATAAAGCTAACGCCGATAGAAGGGACACTCGCGTAAGCGGCCGTTGTGACTTTCGCCTAATGTGTCCAGGTTTGGTTAGGACCTGTTGTCCTTTATTTTTTTGAACCCGCCAGCTCTTTGCTAGGTTGTCAAATGTCATAGTGAGGCCCAGCTAATTGCAGGGTTGCCAAATGTAGTCAGTGGTGCCAACGAAGAGTCTAATGTTTTGTAAGTGTAAAAGTCACCGTCACAGAGTAAAAGAGTTTAAGTTTCAAAATTAATGCAACGAAAATGATTTCCACAGTCTCGTCGTGCTCATGCATGCTCATGCTGGCCAGATGACTGATAAAATCACATGTGATCAGCTACAGTTAGAGTGTTACAGTTGGCTACTGCCGCCATTTTCATTTCCTAATGTAAACAATACCCGCGATATTGTCCTTTCTATAGACGTAGCCTAATTATTCTATGATGCTGCGCTCTCAACCAGTCGAGAATCGACACGGGTTAAACTCACTCAGCAATTTAACGTGGATGCGGAGAGCAGCCGAGGAGTGGGAGTCGCGTGCGGGGCGGGGGAAGGCAGGCAGGTAGGGAGGAAGGAGGCTGCCAGGAGGGAGCGGTCGGTGGGGGTGTCCGCGGCGCGTCGCGCGGGGGAGGAATTCCTGGCACAATTTCCAGCGAATCTTCGGCGATTTTTAGGCGCGCTTATAGCTGTAATATAATGAATGAGACCTAAGCGTCATTAAATGTTGTAAGTGTGGCAATGTCAAAACATTGTATGTATTTCCTTCAGAAAATTCACCAGCACATAAGCTGCCTCGGGTATTCTGCCGCGCTGATAACACCACATGAACATTCAATTACTGCCAAATTTTCCCTAAAAAATATGTATTTTAAAGGAAAGTAATACACATTTGTCCTTGAAATTCATGGATATCTAAGATTAAATTTCAAACAAAATTGGAAGACAAATTGATCATACAGCATACCTTTGTATCCCGATCTCCTTGAAACCTTTGTATTTCGATCTCCTTGAAATGTTTTGTTTAAGTTTCCACGCAATGATGACCCTTTCGGAATCAACGGTTTCCGCCCTCAGGTCCTACTCGGTTCACTAGTTGTGAATGCGTCAAAATAATTAAAAAATAATGCATTAACGTAAAACTTGGGGGAGGTAGAAAGATTGGAAAAAAATTCGCAAAAGATAAATGAATTTTTAAGTTTGTCTTACCAATTTTTATGTTCATGTTTTATTTCTTAATTTGTTAGTTATTTCGACGCGGTCGCAACCAGTGAACCCAGTAGAAGGAATTACGGACGGAATTCGTCAATTTCGAAAAGACCATCGTTGCGTAGAACATTTTTCAAGGAGATCGGGATACCAAGTTATACGATACGAATTATAGTTGCCCGATAGAGAAAGACTTCCTAAATTATCTGGGAGAAAATATTCAGAATCATCCCAGTCAATTCTTTTTTTTACCAAAGGGAATGCGGCACCGTCTGGAGTCTCACACGACATTTTTCTCTAGCAAAGCAGAGTTGGTAAGACTGTTAAATGGCTACTAGCCGTTCCGGGCGCGC